TTGTCCTGTAATTTTTAAAATATGGGCTCCTTCTACCCCACTGCTTTGGTATAATCTCTTGTGGTGAGTTAGAGAAAGGACACCACCCTGGCTTTGAGGCTTCTGGCAGAACATTAGTCTTGTGTGGCTGTGGTTACCACTAGGTTATTGCTGAGAAATCATGTCAAAGGCCTATCCCCAGTTTGGGTTTTTCCTATGAATTAAATACTATTAGTGGTTTTAGTCCATTCATTGTTCCCATTTGAATAAAATAAAAACTCTTATGCAACAGGATTTCTGGGGGTGGTGGGAAAAGCTTTAGGTCCAATAAAGGCCAGGTTGCTCTCTGCGTAGACTGGATTTACTTCTGTTTTACTCAGCCATTCTCTAGAGATGCAAGAGAAATTCTGTCTCTAAATGTTCTACATGGTTTACATGGTTTTCATATCCGGTAGAAACATTAAGGATAATGATAATAATGATCAGAATGTACCATATACCAGGTTAAGTACTAGTGTAAAAACTTAGCATGTCTATCTTGCTTGATAAGAGTCATAATCACAACCAGTATCATTTATAAGTCCCATCTATAAGCCAGGTGCTTCACCTACATTATTCTATCTCCACAACACCTTTCTGAGAAAGGTGCTTAGAGATCAGGGAATCAAGGCACTGACAGTTAAGAAGTATGTCTAAGATTATACAGGTGGCAAATCACAGAACTGGGATTTAAATGCAGACTCTCGGGCCTTTTTCATATAATGCAGTCGAATCGATTTTTATACTTAAAAAAGCACTTGATCACTTATTACTTTATTTCACTTTGACAAGAAGATAGTAGTATCTCCACGTTAAAAGTAAGGAAAATGAGACATGAAGAGGGTCAATGGCTTGACCAACTTCACACATGAACGGCAGAGTTGGTCCAGAGTCCCCATTTCTGGCCATTAATGCGATACCTTTCCTGCTGTTCACCCACCCAATGACCGGGTGAGTTCATGTTAAGAGAGCACAGTTTTAATCCCTGCACTCCAAACAAACCTTAAGAGGGTCATCATCCCTGAATTCCTAGTTCCCACATAGGCATTGTTTTATACCTAGTCTAATCACGGTAAGGAAAGAGGCAATATCCAAGAACCCAAAGTGCCTTAGTTTGTGCCAGCAAACATTGATCTTCAAAGATAGAGTTCTCAACAGTTTTACATTCCAAACCACACTTCCCAATAAAAATGATCCTCCAGAGCAAGTTCCAAAGTAAGCTCCAGGCCTGGATCCCAGGTCATGAGTTCTATGGGAGGGCGTCATCCACAACCCACCAGAAATTTGGCACGTTGTTTAGACAACCCGTCTCCATCAAGCTGCCTTTGATGGCAAAGCCAGATGGGCTTCTCTAGGCACCAGCTGACCTCCTCCTGCTCACCTTCACAGGGCTCTCCTCTTCGGTTGCCCTTTCCCCTCCAGCTCCTAGAGCCCTGCACAAATGCTCCTCTTTGCCAAGAAGATACATTGACTCAAATGATCAGATAACTATGCTGATCATTTTTCTTGGCCAATTAATGCTGTGTCACTTCAGGTCTCTAGAAAATTTCCTCCAACTACTTGACAGCCCTATCCACTTACAGAGTTCTTAAAACCTAGATGCAGGTTGAGCCCAGATTCTAATTTCAAATCTCCGTTGGCTCGCGCTTGGGATATGTTCTGTCTTCCATCTCCAGCTGGCCCACTGTCATGCCCTTTCCTCTGGAACGAAGACTTCCCCACATTCATCTCCACATTCCTCACACTTACACTAGTGGAATTTATAGCTTGCTAACTCAGCCTTGCCCCAAAGAGCAAGCAAAGGGGAATTTGGTTCAGGGCCCACCTGCTAGGCAGAAAATAGTCAAAGTTCCAATTTTTGACCTTTTTGCCTAAATTTTCCCTCCTGTATCCTTTCCCCATTGGAAAGACTTGCCTGCTAGAGGTCTCTGCTTAACTTTTTCAGCATCCAGCACTTGACTTGAACACTGCCTTATTAAGTTTCAGAAGAAAAAAAAAAAGGCCTACAGAAAGTTTGTGGAATCAGACCTTTTTCCTGCTCCGAAGTATTCTTCAGCAGTCTAGTAGGAGGTGTTTTTGAAAGATGCATAGACTCTTGCAGGCCACCTCAGTGTCCTTAGGTTAATCACTGCCCATGAAATGACCTGTGAAATTGGGTAAATTTCTACTCCACCGCACCGAACAGTAGCATGGATGACCCTAAGAGCCCCCCTGACTTCTTAGAGTTCTCGAAAGCAACTTAAACAAAGAGAAGACCTCATCGAGTCAGGGTCCCCTCAGCCATTTCCTGTTTTACAGAAAGCAGACACTTGGACTCATTTACTCATTCATTCAACAAACACTTTTTTTTGTGCCCTGGCTTAGGGCCAAGGATGAGTTATGCTGAGGGTACACCAGGGAAACACAAAATAACAATCATCCCTGCCTTCAAAGAGGCCCAGAGCCTCAGGAGGGACTCACGCCTCAAGCCCCATTTCTATTCGGGTGGCTTGACCCCTCCTGACCTCCTGACCAACTACTGAGGGCTGGGAAAGAATTGTCCCCCTCTTCTCATTTAATCCCTCATCCCCATTGGCAGGGGGAGTGAAGTAGAGACTGATTGGGTACAAGCTCCCCTCCCTTCCTCGTGTTCATCATTTCTTAACCTCTAGTCATCTCAGTTACCTTGTCCATAAAAGAGCAGGTACTATTTCTTGTCTACTTTGTAGGGGTGTTAAGATGACTAAGAATCACATAAGTGAAGTGCCTGGCACAGAGTGATTGCTCAAAAAACAATGGCAGCTACTTTCATAAGAAATGGAAAGAGGTACAGTAGTTGTCCCATAAGTCGTAGCTATTAATATGGTAGTTCTTTGTCCTCAATCCAAAACTTCAAGGGCTGATCCATCAAGGTGAGGCTTAGTGGATGGCGGTGGAGGATTAGTTTTCCCTGGCTCCTTTCTCAGCCTCCATCAGGTAAACCCTGTTTGTACAAGCCTTTCTGTTCTGTCCTCAGGAGCTCAAGGTGTCTCTGCTCCTCAGGAGCTTAGGGTGTCTCGGATCCTCAGGCAGGCCACGTTCTACCTGCAGAAGCTTCCTGTGCAGCTAGGGGTCAAGCAGTTGGCAAAGTCAAGCCAGCCAGCTGCTGTGAAGTGATACTTCTGAAGGAAATCCTGGGTCAGTCCTGCGAGGGAGTTGTAAACTGCAGCCTGTTCATCAGTGTGTCTCAGCTTCCCATCCTCTCGGCTGGCTGGGCCACTGGGCAAGAACTCTAGGACCACCACTCCCCGGTGCCCAGAACGGACAGAGGGAACAGTGGGGATTCCTGATCCAGACAAGCTCTCTTTCCCAGAAAACGGATTAAGTGTGTCCTGACAAAATTCACTCTTCATCATTCTTTCCTGGGGAGTGAAGTGGGTGAGAAAAGAGACCTGAACCACTCATTCCTTCCCCGCTTAAAATTCCCTTCAAACCACTCCATGCACTTTGCATCTGAACAAGCCATCTGTGGATCTACTGCCATCAGATGGGTCTGTGTTCTTGGTAAAATGAGGATAATAATGCCAACCGTAGAGGGTTGCAGTAAGAAGTAGTGCTTTTCACACGTGAAAGCACTTACCCAACTGTGTGGTCTGTGATGAGTACAGAATGCATGCTAGGATTGCCTTTTTCTAAAGAATTGTGTAAGGCAGTATTGTGCAGGGTGAGGAAAACAAGCCCACACGTCTCTCTCAGAGCTCTCTCGCTGTAGAGGTGATCAAAACCTGACTCAAAGTTGATTAGAAGAAAAATAAAAGGAATTCACTGGCTCATGGAATTCGTAGTGGTGGCTAGACCTTGAGGCTCAAAGGAGGTTTTCAGGGCTCTTTTTCTCCCTCTCTTAGCTGGCTCTGCTTAGCTCTAATTCTCTTTGCTGTTGGCCTCATTCTCTCCTGCCACAAACAGCCTCTCACCATGTGGGAAGGAAGACAGCCATGGAAATCATGATCCAAAAGGAAGAGGCACATGTTCTCTCCCAGTGTCCACGTTTTAAATCTCAGGCATGACTTTGGCCTTTTGTGGGTCACATGCCCCTTCCTTGGACTAGGAGTCAACAAACTATGACCCACAGGCCAAATCCAGCCTACCTCCTGCTTTTGGACAGTGTGTCCAAAATGCTGTTGTCATTTTTAAATGGGGGGAAAAAAGCACAAAAGAAAAATAACATTTTCTAATACCTGTAAATTATATGAAATTCAAATTTTAGTGCCCATAAATTTCAGTTTTACTAGACACACCGCAGCCATTCATTTACATATTGTTTATGTCTATTTTCCTCTACAACAGAAGTGGAGTAGTGGTAACGGAGACCAGATTGGCCCACAAAACATAAAGTATTGCTATCTGCTCTTTACAGAAAAATTGTGCTGACCTTGCCCTAGACCAGTCATGGTAAACAAGAAGACAGGACACTCTGGTGGGATCTGAATCATGCGCCCACACCTAGGAGACAGATAAGGTAAGATAAGTAGTAATACTTTATACTTGTTGAGCACTTAGAGTGTGAAGCAATGTTATTAGCATTTCATTTGTATTAGCTTACTTAGTCTTTATAATAACTTTTATTATCCCCATGTGATAGACAAAAATACTAAGGCACAGAAAGGTTAAGGAGTCTGTCCAGAACGACATAGCAAATAAGTGATAGAGCTGAGATTTGAACCAAGCCATTTGGCTCCAGAGCTCACACACTGGCCACTGTTCAGGTCTGTTCTAGCCAAACAATGTGGGATGGAGAGTAGGGCAGTTTTGTGGGTAAAGAGGGGTGTAGGGGAGAAGAAACAACGGATAACTGCAGCAATGTCAGATCACTATGGGTTCGAAAAACTTGTACTTAACTTCCTAGAACCTCAGTGTTTTTTTGCTTTTTGGTTTTATTTTGTTTTGATCTAGTGTGAAGTGGTGTGAGATCTGCCCTTCGGGGTGTTAGTCATGGTGTTTGCTTACATTCATGGATTACTTACTTTGGGCTAATCCTACGTACTTTGTGGATGTTGTCTCATTGAGGAAGCCAAAGCTTTGACAGGTTACACAGGTTGCCCAGGGGTGCGCGGCATCCTGATGAGAAGACAGGTCTGTCTGACGCCAGGGCTGGGGCACATAGCCATTACACCACACTGCCTCCCATCCCAGAGGATGAAGACAGATCAGCTCTCAAGTGGACATAGTAGAGAGCCTGACACATTGTAGGCACTCCATTCAGGTTAGTTTCTTCTCTTCCTCTTTCTTGACTTTTCCTATTCACAAAACAGAGAGGTGTATGAGCAAGGAATCCATATGTATCCTTTGGAAGAACATTTTAAGTAAAATAAAAACAAAATCTCCCTTTAATCAGTCTTGCTGTCAAAAATGCAAAGCAAAATAGTAAAGGTTCAGAGAAGGGCAGTGAAAATAATGTGTGGCATGCATGGCAGAAGAGCATGCCATGAAAAGAGGCATTCCAAACCCGAGGATCATTTCATTTGGAAAGGCAAGCTCCCAGAGGCACGGTGTTTACAGTATCACAAGCTGACGACAGGTATAGGAAACGCTAATCAGGACCTGGTATTTACTTTTCCCCCAAAATACAAGAACCAGACTGTTTAACGCATTGTATAATAGCTGTGTCACCTTCCACTTTGGAACACTATCAAAGTGAGCTCTACCCTCCCTTCCTACTGACTGTGGTGCCAAGCCACACCTCCAGCCCCAATCAGTACACAAGACACTGCACTCTACACGTACTATTCAGTATCGCGGTTTGTAGCTGGAAGGTGTTTTGGGGCCAGGCAGATCAGCCTCCCCTGTTATACACAAAGTGCAAGCCCAGTAAGGTGAAATGGTTTGTCCAAATCTGCAGGGTGAGCTCATGGCATGTCTAGATTTAGCTGGGCCTTGCAACCGGTCAGAGGAACTGGACTGAGGTCCTGGCCAGACCTAGATGACCTTCCTGAGACTCAGTATCCTCATTTCTAATGTGGGTGGAAGATCAAATCGTGAAAGTAGCCTAATGCTCAGTTCAGTATATCATGGCTTACTGCTCAGTTTAGCACTTTTTCCTCTGTCCATTCTGCTCCTTCGAATAGCCTTATGTAGGAAAAAGAGTGCAATGCTGGACTGTTGAAAAAAATTGGAAGATGCAGCACCCCCTCCCCCTCTTGACTTCCCCCCACCAACAATAAAGTCCAAACTTCAAAAGAAACACACTTGCAAATGGTAGCCAGTCTCAGAGGCCTTTCCCGGAGTGGAACCCTGCAGTCAGATACTGGCCAGGGCAATCCTTGAACAACTTGGTTACAATCCAAGCCTGTTTTCAGTGGGGAATAAAGTTCATGTTTTGGAGACAGTATCCTTGACTTTTTTATCCTGTTATTCAAATATTTCCTAATAATCTTCAGCATTTATACACTCAAAAGACCTTGAAGGAAAAGGATGCAGGGCTCCAGTCTTTTTTCCTTCCTTTTGCTAATGAATAGATGTTTTCTTTCTGAATTCACTGGCCCTATCACCCTATTTTTTTTTAACACTCAAATAACCCTCCAAGCAAGAGGTCAACTAGCAAATGGGAAGCCCTAAGTTACCAAGTTTTGGTTTGGACTTAATGCTATGAGTGTCTTTTCAACATGAAAAAACCTAAGTGGAGAGGAATTGAAATTTGAGCAAATACATACATAACGCATCAATTAGTTGGAATAAGTGTGGGTGTTTCTGGTGCCACCTATTGGTCATACTGTAAGACTGACTATATGCAGTATGATTGGTCCTGCCAATGAATACCAAATGGAATTTATGCTGTAGCAGTACCGGTTACATATTTCAGCAGGTCAGCTGAATGTCAAAATAGGGTGACTGTTGCTTGAACATCATCTTTAGTCACAGCTACTTGGAAGTGTAAGACTATTTACTATGTAGTTTTTGCCTTGGTTTATTCACCGATTACATGTTTAGAGAGAAATACATAATGAGGCATAATCTTTGGGAACTCTGAGATTAATGAACCAATACTCAGATTCAAATGATTTTTGTGTCTTGTGATTCAGAACTGGTGTTGGTGCCCTGCCTAGATCCCTTTACCAGCCAGCGCACCAGGCAGTTTCCCCGAGCTGCTGGGAAGTTGGCTAATCCAATGGACAGCTACCCCCTTCTCTGAAGAATTGCCCTTGGCCAAGAGGGAGCCACCTTGACCCGGAGGCTACGTGCACATGTACACATTCATGTGGCCTCCACAACCAGTGGCCAATAGCTGACTGTCTCAGAGGCACAAAAGGCCAGCCCTCCTAACCTTAAGGCAACACTAACCCTGTGGTGCAATTTGTTGCTCCAGAGCTCCCCATGGGATTAAGCCAAAGCCAAATTCTTGCTTAGCCCCCCTTCCCTGTCCTGTATGGTTTCTCCTTGAAATCACTCCGTAAATCACTTGAACACAACTCATCTCAGGCTCTGCTTCAGAGGAAGCTTACCTAAGACAAGAACTATCCCATGGAAAGCCATATCTGTGATGATGGAAGAAGTCATGAGAGCAAAATAGCCCTTCGGGTCTATGAGTGTGGTTTTCCCAACATGCTCCCGTGGCTAAACAAAGCAACTCTTCTCCATAGGCGGTAGGGCCCAGATTAAACAGCAGCAGTTATATTGCACTGTGGGACCATGGACCTGTGTGATGATATAAAATATGTCCTTGAAATGGCACTATGCCTGCGTTTTCTGAGAAATGCATTTAGTTTCAAAATAGTACATCCGTGCTGGCATTAGACCTAGTGCTCCCAGGGGCAATGAAGAATGACCTGGAACCGGAGCACTCGAGGCCTTTCACATTTCTGCATCTTCTGGAGGAGCCAGGACTTTTTGGCTTGTGCCAAAGGAGAGTGTTGGGGAAAGGAGAAAGCTCTGCAGGGGATAGTTCTGGAAATCTCCTAAGAATGGGTGGCTGATTAAATCGGGTTCTGCCTGTAGAAGTTCAGCTGGTTCTCCAGAAGTTGCCGTGGCCAGTAAGAAGAAGTTGGAAGGGTAGGGACTGGTCAGGCCTGGGTTTGAATGCTCCTCCTACTTACTAACTCAGTTTCCTTATCTACAGAATGGGGAACCTAATATTCACTCCCTCAAGTTTTTTGGGGGTAAGGGAGGTAGAAATAGTGTCAGGTTAGCACCTGGCATACGTTAGCCAGTGAATACAAGGCAGCTACTTTTCTGCACTCAAGCAGTAGCATCTACCGATCAGCCTAGCTTCTCTCACTAGTTAGGGTGATATTTTGGCCTTATTTATTTATTTATTTATTTATTTACTTATTTACTTATTTATTCAACTTGTTTCAAACAAGTCGGGAAAAGGGGGCTGTTTATTTAGAGCTCCACTGGGGACCCCCCCAAGAGCTATTTATTTTTATTTTTTTATTTTTTTATTAATCCTCAGATTATTATGATCCTCACATAATGTAAGGCCATCCTGTATGCTTGAGCAAACTGTACAGTGTTCAGATGTGCCCACTGTGGGTAAGTGGGGCTAAAATCTAGCCTTCTTCCTCTCCCCAAGCCATCAACCCCACAGGTAGTGTCCACCAGAAGGTGATACTTTACTAGTTCTCATAGAAACTGGGCTAGAAGCAGCCCTGACATTGTACAAGCATTTTGTTCAAGGTTAGATCCCCAGAGGGAACCACAAGGACCCCCCCGAAGAGAAGACCTGAGCATCATGCTCTCTAGACCCACTTTCTCCCACCTACATGCCTGACCCTCACAAATAAAAGCCTGACAAAGATATTTTAGGCCACAGTAATTACCTGCCAGGGGTCTCCTCAAAATATGGTGCCTAGCTCAGATGTCCCCATATCATAATAAGGTAGGGTCTGAAAAATTACCAACACCATCACCTGGGGTACTTGATGGAAAATACAGTATCCTGAGCCATACACCTGACCTTCTAGATTCTACAATCTCTAGAGATTAAATTAGGGAACAGCTGTTGAGATATGATTAATCTCTTCCTCACAGGCTTGCTGACCACAAAGAAGGCTTCCTTGCTCAAGGATTCCCTTCATTCACAAAGTCTATAGAAGAGTCATGGTGAAGAGTTGACTATTCCCTAAAAAGGCTCTTCCTCTTAGAAGAAGCCCAAAGATAAAAAAGCCATAGGCTTCCCTTTCCTTGATAACCTCCTTCCACTCCATATCCGATTCCCCCAACACATACATAATATTAGCTCTCTTAGGGCTCTTCCTTTTCTCTCCCTTTCTTGTTTCTGGTTGCTGGTAATATAGAACATATCCCCCAGCAAGCAGAGGCAACTTGGTGATGGCTATCCTTAAAATTCTTGTTTACTTTTTAGAATCTCATCTAGCATTGTCTATTGCTCTTCCTAGAGTCCTGGGTTACCCAAGACCCTCCAAGCAACCTAACTGTGTCCTTGGTGGCAATCCTAACAGTCAGGGACTGTCCATATGATGAGTTGTTCAGTTAATGATACCTTCAATACAGCATAGGTTTCACATAATGGTAGTTAATATATGAGCACATCACTTTCAACATAAGGTTTGCCCACTGGAGAACCAAATTGAGCTGTTCTATAACCAACAACTATACTACAAGGTACACATCTAGAATTGTGTCAAGTTTACCTTGCCCAGTTCCTACATGATTACTTCCAAGTGAACATTAAGGAAGAACTAATTCATTAAAAGATAGGGTCTAAAAAACATTCAACAACTATGTTAGGAGCTAAAGCTAGAGATAAATCAAATGTGTCTCAATCTTCATGAAATTCAGCCTAGTAGAAGAATGCCTATGGAAGCATTCTGTGGCAGACAGAAGACTGTACCACTTAAGGGATTATCATTATTAACAAAAGAGTCTTGTACTATAACTTAGATGCTGAGAAGAAAAGTAGTATTTACTGACCACCACTTAATTTTCACAAAGATCCTACTGCTTGGTTGCTGGGTCAGTTATGATGCCTCCTGGTGCAAGACATAGGAAACCCAACTAAAACTGACGTAAACAAGAAGAAAACTGTATTATCTCAACCACAAGTCAAGACGTAAAGATTACTGGGGTTGATTAACTCAGTAGCTCCAGTCATATCTGCAAGAACCCAAGTGCTTTCTGTCTCTCTGCTCTCTCATTGTATTAGGGTTCTTCAGAAAAACAGAACCAATAGGATATATATACAGATACACACACACATACATATACACTTATGCACACATACAACACATACCTATGTACACACATATATTTAAGGAGACTTATTATAACAAATTGGGTATGGAGGCTGACTAGTCCCAAGATCTGCAGGGTAAGTTGGTGAGCTGGAGACCCAAGAGAGCTGATGGTGTAGTTTCAGTCTGAAGGCTGGCAGGCTCAAGACCCAGGAAAGAACCAATAGTTCAGTTAGTGTCCAAAGGCAGAAACAAAACAATGCACCAGCTTGAAGGCAGGAAGGCAGGAGGAATTTCCCCATTTCAGGGGACGGCTGGCCTTTTTATTCTATTTAGGTCTTCAACTGATTGGATGAGGCCCACCCACATTAGGGAGAGCAATCTGCTTTACACAGTCTACTGATTTAATTGTTAAACACATCCAAAAATCCTCACAGAAACACTCAGAATAATATTTAACCAAATACCTAAACACACTGTAGCCCAATCAAGTTGACACATTAAATTTAATCATATATTCATCTTCAGCATTTGACCCAAGTCCTTGTTGGTATGACAGCAACACTTCCAGTTATCACATCCTCACACAACATCCAAAAGCTGGAGTAAGAAAAGTTGGGTACTTTCAGAAAGCTCCTCTTCTTAAGAAAGCACTTGATATCCTGATACATTGTTGTTAGGAAGGAAGAAAGGTTTGGATTGGGCACATAGGGGCTGGGGGAAGCTACTGGCTCAACAATCAACAATGTCTTCCATAATTTCTATTATCCCATTTTAAAGATATGAACACTGAGACTCAGAAAGATTGAGTTGGTCAGCATTGCACACCTAGTAAACTGTCAAGCACAAAGTTCAATCAGATCTTTCTGGCTCTAATTTGCTTGCTCTATTTGCAGGTCTATTTGTAAATATTCCTAACTCCACCTGTACTGTAACCTTGGGCAAGTGCCTTATTCCCTCCAAATCCTCATTTCTATCACTGATAAATAGACATAACAACAGTCCTTACCTTTTAGAGTATCATTTAACTTAGTGTATGTAAACTTTCATTATTACAGATCTTCCTTGACTTGTGATGGGGTTACATGCTGATAAACCCATCATAAGTTGAAAATATCATTAAGTCAAAAATGCATTTAATCTACTAAACATCATGGCTTAGCCTCGCCTATCTTCAAGGTTGTCAGAATACTTATATTAGCCTACAGTTGGGCAAAATCATCTAACACAAAGCCTATTCCTATTTTATAATAAATGCTGAATTATCTCACATAATTGAATACCATACTGAAAGTGAAAAATAGAATGCTTGTATGGGTACAGAATGGTTGTAAGTATATGGGTTGTTTACCCTCGTAAGCTGTGACTTGCTGCCACTGCCCAACATCATGAGAGAGGATCATCCCCCCATATTGCTAGCCTGAAGAAAGACCAAAACTCAAAGTTCAAAGTACGGTTTTTCCTGAGTGTGTATTGCTTTTGCACATTGTAAAATCGTACTTATAAGTTGAACCACTGTTAAGTTACAGACTGTCTGTATTTGCTGCCCCACCACAGTATAAAGAGCCACATACTGTACAACTGTAGGGGGCACTATTCACCTAGAATATACTATGAATTATTCCCCCCGGAGTTTCACCATAGCTTACTAAGAGGTACAGAAAACTTACCTCTAGAATGAGAAATGGAGAATTCTTGGGTTTAAGTAGTACAGCACTGGCAAGTTTTAACTCAATGCCACAACAAACAGGTGAAGGAAAGCTAACAGAATTTTCCAAGCCCAATGGTAAGGACCTTCATATATGTATCTCATTAATTCTCACAAAAGCCCTACAATGATTAAGAAATTTTGTTATGCTTTTGTTTTTCCTGTAGAGAGTTACCATGATAGATTTTAATTCTAAGAAGAAAACAGAATTTCCTGATTTCCTTGCTGGAAGATACTGTCATTCAACACTCTTTCCTGGGGCTCACTGTGTTTCTGTGTTTTACCTGCCAAGGCTTCAGCATGATGCAATAAGTACTGATCTGTGAAGTCAGAGGCCTGGGTTCTAGCCTTACTCTGTGTCTAGCTAACAGTATCAAAGTGGACAGTCAATTAACATTTCCTTTTCCCTCTGTATCTACAATTATCTGCAAATGAGGTGATGAGGTAAGATTCTTTGCTTTCTAAGAATGGTTTCCTTTTTTTTTTATTTTTAGAGAGAGAGAGTGCACACACTCTTGCACGCTAGAGTTGGGGGGAGGGTGGGGAGGGTCAGAGGCAGAGGGAGAGAGAGAATCTTAAGCAGGCTCCATGGCCAGTGCAGAGCCCATCACAGGGCTCAGTCTCACAACCCTGAGATCATGACTTGAACCGAAATCAAGAATCAGATGTTTAACTGGCTGAGCCACCCAGGTATCCCTCTAAGAGTGGTTTCTAAGGGCCCAGTTATACTGAGCAACCTATCACCCAGCTCTCTGTATATGCAGACTGAACCCTCAGGTCTGATTAATAGGTCTGCTGCTATTTACCCAAACAATCCTGGTTTGCTAAGGAGGTGGAAGGAAGACAGTGTGATGTGGTGGGAAGAGTCGTAAAGGCAGGGTAAAGGATATCTAGTGCTAACTCTGTCTTGGAGAAGTCATCTGCACCCATTGGGTCTCAGCTTCTTTTTCTGTTAAGTGGGGTTCTGCAGAAGATGATCTGGAAGGTTTCTTCCAGGTCTATGGTAGTCTAACAGATGCTATCAGATGCTACTGTTCTTTGCATGTGTCTAAAAATTGTTTTCTTAAAATGTGTCCCTTGTTCTTGTTTTAGAACAGAAATGAAACCGCAGGTATAGATTCTTTTTTAATTTTTTTAAGATTTTATTTATTTATTTGACAGAGAGACCGGAGAGAGGGAATACAAGCAGGGGGAGTGGGAAAGGGAGAATTAGGCTCCCTGCAGAGCAGGGAGCCCCAATGCGGGGCTCGATCCCAGGACCCTGGGATCATGACCTGAGCCGAAGGCAGACGCTTAACGACTGAGCCACCCAGGCGCCCCTCAGGTATAGATTCTTGAAGGCAAAAGAGATAATGGGAAAAAACAAAGGTAGGAGGGCCTAAAATGTAGTCAAATTCTTGAAACTAAAAAATTGAGGGCTACTCAGATGTCCATCAACAGATGAATGGATACATAAGATCTGGTATATATATACAATGGAACACGACTCAGCCATCAAAAAAAAAACTTGCCATTTGCAATGACATGGATGGAACTAGAGGGTATTATGCTAAGCAAAATAAGTCAATCAGAGAAAGACAAGTATCATATGCTCTCACGCATATGTGGAATTTAAGAAACAAAACAGAGGATCATAGGGGAAGAGAGGAAAAAATAAAACAAGATGAAATCAGAGAGGGAGACAAACCATAAGAAACTCTTAATCATAGGAAACAAACTGAGGGTTGCTGGAGGAGAGAAGGGTGGGGGATGGGGAAACTGGGTGATGGACATTAAGGAGGGCACGTGATATAATGAACACTGGGTATAAGAATGATGAAGCACTGACCTCCACCTCTGAAACTAATAATATATATGTTAATTAATTGAATTTAAATTTTAAAAAAATTAGAAAAAACATTTTAAAAAGTTGAGCGCTGCTGAAGGAAAATCAGATAAAATGGAAATTCCCAGGATGTGATAAATGAGTGATCTTTAATGTCTGCCCTGTTTGGGGGAGCAATTTCTGTTACCTTAGCAATACACACTGTAAGAACTCAAGAAATGGTTGCTGACTGATTAACTTTACTTATAATGATTAGGCAGGGAACTAGCTGATTATCAAAGGTTCCTTGTAGTTCTAGTATCCTATGACACATTTTACTGAATTACAACACAGGTCTGCCTGACCCCACAGCCTGAGCTCTCGACCATTAGGCATCCTACTTTAGACAGCTTCATTGCCTCCAAAAGTTGGAATTCAGCATTCTCAGGGACTCTGTTTCCTCACCTTAAAATGGGGAGAATAACAGTAGGTACTGTATAGGTTTGTTCACTTAAATATTTACTGAGTACCTGCTGGACACCAGGGACATCTTAGTGAATCAGACAGTTAAGACCCTGTGCTTGTGGAGATTCTTTCTAGATAGGAGAGAGAGAAAATTAACAAATAAGCAAGTGAATGCTGTGAAGGAAATAAAACAGGGCTAAGGAGTGACTGCAGGGAAGGATGAAATAGGAGTGTTGGAGAAGACGTCTCAGAGGAAAAGACATTTGTTAGGAAGGAGCAGCCCTGGGAAGATGGGGGAGAATATGATAATGTCATTCTACGCAGAGGAGAGACTTCAGAACCTACAGCAAGAAGTAGCTGGGCATGTTTTAGGAATAGAGGGAAGGTCAATGTAGCTGGGGTGTGGTGAGCAAGGTAGGGGTGTGACTGAAGGTGAGGGAAGATGGCCAGATCTTACAGGACTTTGTAGGCCAGATAAATTTTCTTCCAACGACAATGGGAGACCACTGACGAAGTTTCCAGCAGTTTCAGAGAGGAGCATGATCTGTGGAAGCTGGTTTGAAAGCATCCCTGTTTGCCATGTAGAGAAGAGACTGTCAATGAGCAGTGGTGGAGAGAGGCCTATCAGGAGACAGCTGTCCACGTGAGAGCTGATGGGGACTGGACATTTTGTGGTGGTGGAGATAGAGAGTAGAGAGAAATAATTCAAATTTAGGATATCTTCTGGAAGGCATGTGGATTAAATGAGGTAATCTATGCAAAACACCTCACAAAATGCCTGACGGGGCTCAATTAAGTGCTTGCTGTAGATAATACAGCCTGGTATAGCAGGCCAGTCACAATTCCATAAGTCAAAGAGAAATCTGCCAAATACTTAGGTCACAGAGCAGGTTAGCAAACTGGTTCAAGCACTCATTATTTATGTGCCACTCGGGAAAGTCACATTTGGGGCCTCAGTTTCCCCATTTATAAAATGAGAAGTGGGCCAAATGAACTCTAAGGCAGCTTCCAGAGCTAACATCCTCCCAATCTTTTTGATGGGATATATCATCAGGGTTTGCTCGGAGAAGCAGAGTCACTGTGAGTAAGGTAGAACAAGGAATTTATAGCAAGGAGTAGACCTTACAAAACTGTGGAAACCAGTGAAGTACTCTATGCAACGCATCGCCTCTGTGCCTGGTGTTGGGCCCAAAGTCACGACAGATCAGCCAACCCTGCAATCAAGAAGGAAAGTGAGGTGCAAAGTTTGGGAAGTCAAGGGCAAATTGGAATACACAAGGATAAACTGGATGCCAAGTCTGTCTAACCATCTCTAATCTTGATGCAGGTGATCTGCAGAAGCTAGAGCCCTTAACCATGGAGCTACACATGCACCTAGCCCAAGACTTAGAGCAGATGAAGGAGGAGCTCATGCAGGTCCGAGTGCTGCCCCTGCCAATAAGTGAGCCAGCCGACTCAATGTCATGAACTGCCACTGTGCCTGGCACCCAGCTGTGACTTTCAGAGTAGAAAACACGGCTTTGCTTCCACCTCTCCAGTCTTGTGCCAATTTCTCTTTTGGCCAATCCCAATCTGGAGCCATGCAGGGAAGGGAATTCTAGCAAATGAGTTCCACTGCAGCTAAATCGACAATAAAGAGCTACCAGAATCCACTCCTTGTCAACTTGGCATTCATACACACCTTTGAAAACCATACGTAACTGTTAAATAAAGACAACAGCAAAATCATGCTTCCACTTAACATGACCCAATGGTCCCTCATGCAACTGAAAACATTCTATCCTTCTCTCCAAGGGAGGATATAAGTTCCCTTTATGCACCTCTGGGTGATATTCATTCTTTTTCTAGCTGAGTCACCCTCTCCTTTGGAGGTAAGGGCTTTGGGAGGTGATTAGGTCATGAGAGTGGAGCCCTTATAAAAGAGACCCCAGGGAGTCCCCTCATCCCTTCTGCCCTGGAAGGACAAAGCAAAGCGACAGCCATCTAGGAACTAGGAAATGGGCTCTTATTAACACTGAATCTGCTGGTGCCTTGATCTTGGAGCTCTTAGTATTCAGAACCATGAGAAATAAATGTCTATTTATAAGCCAGCCAGTGTATGGTATTGTTATAGCAGCCCAAATGGACTAAGATAGGCATAAAACAATAACCATCATGTATTTTGTGTGTCAGGAATTTGGAAAAAGCACAGCAAGTGTGGTTCTTCTATGCCCCACAATGTCTGGGTTGAGATGACTCAAACAGCTGGGGGTAGGAACCCTGGGACCAGAGAATCTACTTCCAAGATGGTTTCTTCATTCATACTTCTGGTGCTCAGCCTGGGGTGGCTGAAGGAGAGGCTCATCTGGCACTATCAACTGGAAAATCTGCACGGTGGTCTCAAGGTAGCTGGACTACTTACAGGGCTGCTCAGAGCTCCAAAGCAAATTTCCCAGCAAATAAACTGCATGGCCTTTTATGACATAGTTTTGGAAGTCACCTGGTGTCACTTACACTATTCTATTGGTTGAAGAAGTCACAAGCCCTCCCAAATTCAAGGGGAGGAAATATAAACTCTGCCCTTCAATGGGAGGAATGTCAAAGAACTTGAGGCTATGTTTTAAAACCACCACCTGACACCTTGTCTAGTCTAGTTCATGTTTATCCACAGCAGGTGGCCAGTTCACACTTTTTCATTATTTAGCATTATTTTTATTACTGTTCATTTCTCACCTGTATCAACTGATGAGAATGCTGCCTGTGAGAGATATTATTACAGGTGCTTTCCCTTCCATGCTTCCCTGGGTTTCTTGGAAAGTCACACACCCCTCATAGCTAGACTCACATTTCAATTTTTCTACAAACTTACTACTTACAGGTGATCTCCTGACTTATTATAACTCTTTGGCTGGATACTCCTGCACATATATGGCCTATATGATTCCTAATGCCTTCAGGTGACCATATTGAGATCAGTGGTCAACTAGCCAATGAACAGTGATAAGAAAATATCTTGGGCTGATTCATGAAGTTTAGAAACAGGCTTCTGAATCAAACAACAATTCTAGCCAAGACATTTTTCTACCTTAAAATATTTAAGAATCTGCAGAAAAAAACAGAAAAGGATGATAAGTGATTGGCAAAACTTCCGAATTGTGAAGAAAGCAGAAAGCTGTCTTGTAGGCGTGGCCTGTAGAGTAGACTTGACCATCATTCCGGAACCAGTTGGGTTGCATTTTGATGGCCTCCTATACCCAGAACATAATGAAGGCTCTCTTTTTCTGAAGAATTAGAGCACTTATAGCCTGAACTATTCATTTATTTATTCAACAAGCATCTATTGAGGGCTGCAGACAGGCCAGGTAGTATCTCCTTTGCTGTTCAGGAACACAATGGTGAAGAAGACACAGCCTCTGACCTTGAAGGACTGTGAAAGGGATCAAAACCAAGCCAAACCAAAACTGATACCGAAACAAAAACCCAAATTTATAATGAGTAAGGGAGCTCAAGAAAAAGCACTTAATTATAAATAAGTTTCACTCTGGGTCTCGTGTCTTAGTCTCCTCTAATGTGACTGTAAGCTTGTTGGAGGCAGGAACCACATTCTAATGCCTCCATACCTCCCAGGACACTGCTCAGTGACATGTCCACAAGAACCTATCATTAAACATTTGCTACTGGTTTGACTGACGGATACTGAAATGAAATGAAGTTGCAGAGGTACCAAGTGTGTTAGCAGTATTTTTTGCCTGCTGCGCAGGTTCACAGTTGCCCATCTGTATGTATATTAAACCATCACCACCAACAAATAAGAATGTCCTCTGTACCATCTTATGCTTGGTAGGAGGAACAACAGGGCTTTGATTCCTTGACATTCAAGAGCTCTCTGGTGACTTGATTCTTCCCTGGCTAGTGGTGCAAGTGATAAGAAGTCGGGGGTTTGGCTCTGCCACTTAAGAGCCGTTACTGAACCTCTTGGGGCCTGTGATTCCTCAACTTTGAGCGAGATTAGGGTTCCCTCCTGCTTTACTCAGGACACATGTTTTTGTTTCATAACTAGTTTGGGTGCCAAGGGAGATGTAGCACCCAGACCATCTATAAACTGATGGGATGTGACCTGGCTTCTCCCCGTGCTTCTCTTATTCCACGATAAATTCCCAGTCCTTATGAGGTTTTGGTCCCAGCGAATTTTCCCCTCAAAAACCAAACAGGATAATAATGAACCATTTTCTTGCATTTTCTATCAAGACTGCTCTTTGTGAGTTCTAAATGTTCTGTCCATATTCAAAGAAGCTGGTTTCTTCATGAGTGGTTGGAATAAGACTTCTCTTGGAAGCTACTGAATATGGATTAGTTGGATTGTTTCGCAGGAAATAAAAAGCAGGCTCTGGGGTGACTACTTCAGTACTTAATTGGGTTAGCAAAGAACTGCAAATGAGAGGTTTTCCTTAGGAGGGAAAGGATGTTTACAGCCCCCTACCCCCCTAGGTGGTGGATTTTTAACCTAAACCCTAGTCTTCAAATGCAGCCTTTAATTTAGAAACCATTACAAGAATCTATTAGAGCAGAAAATGTCAGGTTGAAAAATTAACACATCACAGGAGTTAATTAGAACCCAGCCTCTCATTAGATGCAAATAGAGAGCCCTCCAACTGGCCTGCTGAAGTCACATTTGTTGTAGCTCCAAAGTGGCTGCCTCCTTCCTACTCAGAGAGTGGACAGAGGAAGCTGCCCAGGCCCTCAGGCCAGAGCCACTAGGGGCCCACAGCCTGCCCTTTAGGTTAATGGAAGGTTCCATTCCCCTGTCCCCATCTTCTGCTCCTCTCCTAAATGCTCTGCCTATCACAGGGTGTAGAGTCCTTGGCGTGGAACTCCCTCAGGGAAGTGTTTTCTGCAACAAAGACAAACATGCCAGGCCTGTCACTGGGAGCAGACTGGCGACTGTGTAAACCGCTCTGTGAGAGGAGAGGCTGAGGGGCTCCGGGCCATTCAGACTGAGCTCTAAGTCGTGGTCTTTGTTTTCTTTCCACATGCAGACTGAAATGTGATTCCCCTGGCTTTCTTTTCTGGAAAATACCTGTGATGAGTTCCATGCCGGGGAAAGAAAAGCTGTTGACAGGAAAAGCTTCTGCCCGGGAAGGGGCTTCTTCCAGCGTTCTCCAAGGAGACAGTCGTTCAAGCAAGCCAGGGCAGGGATGCTGGGGCTAGGAAGAAAAAGTCCAGAAGGCAAAAGGGGCATCTCTAACCAGGGACTAGGTGAAGCGCACGCAGTACTGTGAGAGCAGTACCATGCCCATAAACAGGCATGCGTCTGAGTCCCCTGTCACTTACTGTGTGATCTTGAACAAAGTGCTTAACCCCTCAAAACATCAGTTTTCTCAAGCTGCTGAGTGAAATAAATGAGATAATGCACAGAAAGCATGTAACCCAGTATCCGGCCCAGAGTAAGTGTTCTATGGAAGTTCTTGGTTGTTGGTCTGATAATAGTATGGCTTCCCTCAACATTGATGGTGTAGCCTCTTGTGCCAGGCCTTGTGCTGCTCTTTGACCTCGCAGAGTTCATCCTTCAATAAACCATGCACATATACCGTCAGTACACGGCAAGCCTTCCTCCCCTTCCTGCAAATGTGTCAGGAGAAGTGCCCATTGCACACTAACTCTGCTTTGTTGAGTAGCTCAGAATCCTGCAGGCCATCTGCCTCTGCACAGCCCTGTAACCTCAGCTACCTCCACCCTCAATTCACCCACAATTCTCTATGCACTTACCACATTGAGTTACAGTTGTCTGTTCCTTCTTTGTCTCCTCCTGTGAGTTCCTAGAGGGTGGGGTTCATCTGTTCATTGGATTCATTCATCTCATCATTTATTCATCTCTGTGGGCCTATGGTCTCCTGCATTACTCAGCACAAACGGAAGAGTCAACCCTACTCCTGAGTATGTAGACTTCCAGCTGGGAATATTGCTAGGGAAAAAAACCCTGCCTCCCATCTTTGAGGGGCCTCCTTGGGCCCTGGTTTGGTTGGTCTTCCATTTTCTTTTCTTTTCTTTTTTTTTTTGGAAAGGTCTTCCATTTTCTAACTATTACTTTGGTTCTAGCCTCAGTTTCGTCATCTCTTTAAGAGGCTAATAGAGTCTCCTTCCCTGGGAGGTTGTGATGATGGCGGGAGACAAAGCAGCTTTTATGTGCCCAACACAGTTCTAGGTACAGAGCCAAAGACCAAAACAAGTTGATTCCATTCTTGCCCTCAGCTGAGTCTAGTTGACAGTATATGAAAACTAAAGCTATAAGGCAAAATAGGAGCACCACAGGAGTGGAACAGATATCCTTCCAACTTGTATCCAGCCTCTGCCATCTGCCAGACTTGGCTGAAATAGAGGATACAAACATGCATACAAATCTGGGGCCTGTCACCAAGGCCCAGGAAAACCTTGGCAAGTGTTGCTCAAAAGATCTCAAGAAGAGAGTAGAAAGCTCTTTATCCAGATCTTCAGACCTGGGCAGCAAGGAGATGTCTTTGGGACCTGGCTGGAAAGCAGGAGGTCACCTCACAATGACAAAAACCAAGTTATTTGGCACTAACTTTGTATGTGCCAGACACTGTGCTAAATGATTTAGGGGCATTCTCTCATTTAACTCTTAAAACAACTGTGTGGGGAAGACATGAATTTCCTTATTTTACAGATGGCCCATTTGAAGCTCAGAGAGGCACAGTAGCTTCACCACAGTCAAGCAATAAGTAAATGGCTTAGAAATCCACCTGCTGAGGGTTCTACTGGTCTGACTGGAAAGGAAAAGGGTGAACTAGCACAAACCTCCACCCGAGGGGTGGGCAGTGGGGTGGGGGAGGGTTGGGAATATGTGTGTGTTGGGGGGAACTGGACCAAAACAGCGGTCGCATGATCCCCAGACTTCCAGGACCCTTCGCAGCAGCTGAATAAGTTAGAGATGAAGGCTGCAGGGGAGGGATGCCCGGGAGGCTGGGGGAGGGTACCCTCGGTGGTTGTGCGCCTTCTTCGCCTCCTGTGCACAGGTCAAGCCTCTCCCCTCCCGCCCTCTCACCCTCCCAACCTTATTTAGAAACCGTGTCCTCGACACAGGAAGGGCGGCGGGCCGAGAAGCACGGAGCGTCCCGGTCTCATTTCCTTTTGAATCCCCCTGTGGAATTTCATTTCATACGGTGAGGAAATCGGAGCGCGAGACCGTCGGCTGGTCGGCTGCTCCGGGGCGCCTCCCCCACTCGCGGCTGGAGACAGGCAGCTCCCGGGCGCAGGTCGGGCCGAGTCTGGGGGCGGGGAGACGCGGCCCGGCTCCAACCCAAGCAAGTTAGCAGTGAAAATAGCTGCGAGCTTGCGTTGTACCAGGCACGGGGCTAAGCGTTTTACGCATTACCTCTAATCCTCCCAAGTCTCTTTACGGATGAGGAAACTGACGCCGAGAGATTGAGCAATTTGCTGAAGGTTACAAAGCCAGGATTTAAAGCCACAGTCTTTGTAAATCTAAAGCCCGTGTTCTTTGTGTACGTTTCTCTGCCTGATAGGTAGCCACGGGCCGAGGTGACAGCCGGAAGAGTGGAAGGAAAGGGAGTCGACTGATCTGGGAGCATTTCTCACCTGGAAGAGGTGGGGGCAGGCTGGCCCGGCTGGAGCAACTCGGCTCCATCCCTGCCTGGCCCCCGAGCGCCGCGAACCGGGTGGGAGGAAAGTGAGAGCCGGGAAGCCGGGCGGGGCGCTCCGGGAGGGAGGGAGGGAGAGAAGGGCGGGGGAGGAGGGCTGGCGGGCGGGCGGGGGCCTGACCCTTCCAGCGGCAGAGCGTCCCCGCCCCTCGCTGCCCACGGCGCCCGGCCATTGGAGAGGCGCACTGTCCGTCCCGCCCCGCCACCGCCCAGCCAACCTCTAGCGCCGCGCAGGGCTCGGGCGGTGAGAGCGGCGCGGCGCTGGGTGCTGGCGGGTTTCGCCGAGAGGCAGAGCGGACGGGGCCGGCGCTGGGTTGGGGGCTCGCTGCCTGCAGCCATGCCCCTCGCAGTTTGTCCTTCGGCCCCGGCTACGGGCGTCTAATATCCCATACAGTCGCGCGCAGCTGCCAGAGACCCGGCCGCTGCCCCTTCTTCGCCCTTGGCGCCTTATCACACTCCATTCCCGGGAGTTGGGAGCAGCGCGGGCAGCCGGCGCCCCCGTGCAAACTGGGGGTGTCTGCTGGACGCCCCCCCGCCGCCGTCGCTGCCCCCGGCTCTGGCCATGGCCTGGCGGGGCGCAGTGCCGAGCGTCCTGGGGGCGCCCGGGGGCATCGATCTCAGTCTGCGGCTGCTGCTGCCGTTGCTGCTGCTCCTGGAGCCAGCGCGGGGCTTCGGGGACGAGGAGGAGAGGCGCTGCGACCCCATCCGCATCTCCATGTGCCAGAACCTGGGCTACAACGTGACCAAGATGCCCAACCTGGTGGGGCACGAGCTGCAGACAGACGCCGAACTGCAGCTGACAACTTTCACGCCGCTCATCCAGTACGGCTGCTCCAGCCAGCTGCAGGTGGGCGCCCCCACCCCCACCCCCTGGCGGGACGGGACCCCTTGGGCGGGGACGCCCCAAACTAACTCCGTGAAGCCCTTGCCAGGCCAAGCCCCCTGCCCCCTTCCAAGGCTGAAGGGTAAAACTATCCTGGAAAAGTGATTTCCACCCCCACTTTTTTGTCCCTTCTCAGGGACTGGAAGCCAAAACGTTGTGTAAGTCGTCTGGCCTGCGAAAGAACCCACTCTTACACCCCGCCCTTCCGTTTTTCTCCCCTGCTCACCCGTGTCTGGCCAAGCCCCTAACCCCAGTGGAGCTGAGGGTTATCTTTGCCAAGGATTCTGGCTGCCGCTGCTCGGTGGGCGAGTCCGCCAGCTGCAACTAAGACTTGGAAGGAGAGATAAGGAGCCGGGAACTTCTCCTCCCTCTCCGACCTCCTTTCTCCCCCATATTTTGGGGGTGGGTTATTAAATGAAACCCCACTGCTTCGTTTTCTGCGGAGTGGCCTTTCCTCGCGTCGTCCTGCATGACTTTAGAGGTCATGCAGGAAGGAATGGTTGGGTGGCTTGAGATCATTTTGATCCTCAGGGTTGAGGGCAGATTTAGGATTTGGTGGGGAGAAAACACAGCTTGGGGAAAAGGTGATAGTGTGTGGTCAAGCTCCAGGAAGGTATTTTGTATATTAGAAGATTTTTTTCAGTCGGTAAAAATTTTAAAGCTTCTGTAATGATAGAGAAAATGCTCAGTCTACAATAGGTGAAGAAATAATTTGCATATACAGCATGATTATAATCTTACAAAACCAACAACCTATTCACTTTTTAAAAAAGGAACTAAAAGAGATTTTTAAAAAAGGGTTAGCACTAGTTGTGTTTTGGTTGGTGAGGTGACGAGTGAGTTTTAGAAATTTAGACAGCAGAGAACCTGGGAAAAAAAATAGAGGGTAGTTGTCCAGGCTGAAAGCTTCAGAAATCCGTGGTTCTGGTTGTAACTTCTGAGAGATAAGAAACAGGCAGGCAGCTTACTTAGTAGGTGCATGTTTTTACATAGGTCATTTTAAAAGTTGGACTGTGGTTTCAGAAAGATGGTTGGGATTAGACCTGTTGCTGCTGAAATGTCCCTTCGGAGTCTTCAGAACTTTAGAACTAGGTTATAAAAGCTTAAGAAATGATCCTCTAGCTCTCAGTTTGGAAACAGCACATATCCTGACATCAGTGGCAATTTTGTTGGAGAAACAGCTTTTGCAGGGATATATATTTTTAATTACATGTATCCTGGGGAAGCAGCCAAGCTGTTTTGAAGGACAGGACTGGATCCCTTTACATGCTGGAAAATAGTTACTTGTAACTCTAGACTTCATAGACAACATCTGTAAGGAGCCAAGCCGACTGTTTATCAATGCTGGAAGAATTGAGGACAGCAACTGGACTCTCCCCTGCTGGTACTGCAGTTCCAGGGACTTCACATTTATATTTTTCTATTGTGTTTCATTATTATTCATTGAGGAAACCTGCCCAAACAAAGCCCTGGTGACCAGAGACCTCAACCTGCATCCCATCCTTGGGTCTACTAGTGTCTCAATTAGGACATTTTCTGTTTCAGTATGGGACTGATTAAAAAAATAAATTTTAGGGGATAAAGTAAAGTAGAGAAAAGAGAGAATATTAATAGGAGAAAAGCCGGATCTACATTTTTTTTAACATTTATTTTTATGGTGATAAAGAAATGAGGACAAAAATAGATTATCCCATCACTGGAATGACTCAGTCATTCAATTAGTCTGTTCAGCTCTTTCAAAGAGGGAGACGCAAAGTCAAGTCTTAAGGTTTATTTTCTTAAGCATTATGCAAAAAAGGGATTATGTAATCCTTTAGGTCCTTTTAATATGTTTATTTATTTATGTTTTCTGGGAAAGGATTGCTAGAACCCGAAGAAGCAAAGTGTGCAAGCAACAGTTTTTTTTAGGCACCCTAGTCTGAGGTCAGAGTAAGCAGTCAGAGTCCCTATCCTATAGCTGGTTTAAAAGTCGGTATGTACTTTGCCTGGAAGCATTCAACTCCGCTTCGTGCAAGCGTTTGGTCAGACTTCCAAGTCATTGTTTTCTTTGTTCATTTCATTACTTTTCCAGTTCTTCCTTTGTTCGGTTTATGTGCCAATGTGCACAGAGAAGATCAACATCCCCATCGGCCCTTGCGGCGGCATGTGTCTTTCAGTCAAGAGGCGCTGTGAACCCGTCCTGAAGGAATTTGGGTTTGCCTGGCCAGAGAGCCTGAACTGCAGCAAATTCCCACCCCAGAATGACCACAACCACATGTGCATGGAAGGGCCAGGTGATGAGGAGGTGCCATTACCTCACAAAACCCCCATGCAGCCTGGGGAAGAGTGCCACTCCGTAGGCACCAACTCGGATCAATACATCTGGGTGAAAAGGAGCCTGAACTGTGTTCTCAAGTGTGGCTATGATGCTGGCTTGTATAGCCGCTCAGCCAAGGAGTTCACAGACATCTGGATGGCCGTGTGGGCCAGTCTGTGCTTCATCTCCACCGCCTTCACGGTGCTCACCTTCCTGATCGATTCCTCCAGGTTTTCCTACCCTGAGCGCCCCATCATATTTCTCAGTATGTGCTATAATATTTATAGCATTGCTTATATTGTCAGGCTGACCGTGGGCCGGGAAAGGATATCCTGCGATTTTGAAGAGGCAGCAGAACCTGTTCTCATCCAAGAAGGACTTAAGAACACAGGATGTGCAATCATTTTCTTGCTGATGTACTTTTTTGGAATGGCCAGCTCCATCTGGTGGGTTATTCTGACACTCACTTGGTTTTTGGCAGCGGGACTCAAATGGGGTCATGAGGCCATTGAGATGCACAGCTCTTATTTCCACATTGCCGCCTGGGCCATCCCTGCTGTGAAAACCATTGTCATCTTGATTATGAGACTGGTGGATGCGGATGAACTGACTGGCCTGTGCTACGTCGGGAACCAAAACCTCGATGCCCTCACAGGCTTTGTGGTGGCTCCCCTCTTCACTTACTTGGTGATCGGAACTCTATTCATCGCGGCCGGTTTAGTGGCCTTGTTCAAAATTCGGTCCAATCTGCAAAAGGATGGGACAAAGACGGACAAGTTGGAAAGGCTGATGGTCAAGATTGGGGTCTTCTCAGTCCTATACACGGTGCCTGCCACCTGTGTGATTGCCTGTTATTTCTATGAAATCTCCAACTGGGCGCTCTTCCGGTATTCTGCAGATGACTCCAATATGGCAGTGGAAATGTTGAAAATTTTTATGTCTTTGCTGGTGGGCATCACTTCAGGCATGTGGATTTGGTCTGCCAAAACTCTGCACACCTGGCAGAAGTGTTCTAACAGATTGGTGAATTCTGGGAAGGTAAAGAGAGAAAAGCGGGGTAATGGTTGGGTGAAGCCTGGGAAAGGCAACGAAACTGTGGTATAAGGCTAACTGGGCTCCACGCTTTCCAAATTTTGAAGGCATTGGGGGGGGGGGGGAATGCTAGCATTTTGGTGCAAGTGCGACTAAAAGTTTCCTGCAGTGAATCTCAGTTTGAGCAGACTGGCAACACTTAAGTGACCCCTCTAAGCCACCACCTCCTGCCCCCCCGCCCCCACTCCCCAGCATCATAAAAGGATTTTGCTGCAGACTTTGGAATGATCCACAATGGAAAAGCCAGTTAGAGGCTTTCAAAGCTGTGAAAAATCAAAACATTGATCACTTTAGCAGTTCGCAGCTTGGAGCGTGGAGGTCCTGCCTAGATTCCAGGAGCATCCAGGGCGAAGCTGCTTTTCCCTGTAGAGTGAGATCTGAGCTGTGAGTAGGTAACTCGCAGGGAGAAAGATTAACTTTTTTAACCCTTAAAATCTTAGATACTAACTGGGTCTTTCAGATAGCAAAGCAATCTATAAACACTGGAGACACTGGGTTCAGACAAGTGTTAGAAGAGTTTTATAGTTGGGCTGATCTAACATAAACATTTTCTGTGGTGCACAGTCTGCTGTTTAGAACTTTGTGGATTGTTCTCCTAAGAGGTGGTGTCAGAATCTTTCAGTGCCTTTGTCGTAAGACAGAATTGTTTGAAAAAACAGAAGTACTGTACAAACACACATAAGGTGTCCAGTGGATTTTTCTTCTCTCTCTTCCTCTTAAATTTCAACATCCCTGTTCTAGGCTGCTGCTGTTTTCTTCATTTTACATTAATGACTCAAAATAGGT